GAGAGGGGGGGGGGGGGGGGAGAGAGAGAGAGAGAGAGAGAGAGAGAGAGAGAGAGAGAAAAGAAAAAGAAAGGTTCGGTGGTGAGCCACTTTTCATTTTGAGTTCTTTTAAATTTTTTAATGAATTTAAAATAATAAATATTTGAGGTTAGCAAAAATATAGAGCATTGCTGGAGGAACCAGCTTTTAAGTGGTTAGCTATTTTAACTAGAATTTGGGTAAAATTTGGAGACTCTCCTGGAGATGCTCTGGCAGAGTATCCGAATGGCAAACCTAGCAATTGTATGCTCTCATACTATTAATGATGTTTCCAAGGTACATTCATACTTGCTAAAACCAAAATTATCCAATATTTTAACAGTATATTCGCACGGCTATACCCTTTAAACACATTTGAATTTTTTTAAAAGCATAGCCGCGCGGACTGATATATCTCGTAGCAGAAGAGCAGGGTTGTCAAGTATAATAAGAAAAAGGCTATAATTGGGTTTAGTTCATAATTACGATGGATACAATTTAGAAAGTAAACTACTATACATGCAATTTTATACTATGAAATTCAACATTCTTTGATCCACAAAAACAAAATGTTGGCAGATCCTTTCTTTCATTTTTTTGGTATTTATGGGTATAACCTGTATTATTTGTTATAAATAAAATTCATTTGTTATTCTTGCCCAATGGGCTAATAGCTGGAAATCATTAGAATGTGAGGTATCGGAAAGAATTTAAATTCTCATTCCCTTATATCACATATGTATAAATAAAGTAATTGAATGACTAACACTAGCCCAATGGGCTAAAGTGGTATCTTAGCCCTAACCCTAAAATCATATGACAAAATTGCATATTTAAAGAGTGTCGGCAATACTCTTTTAATATATTTGAACATTTTAAAGGTATTGTTGCGCCGCTATACTCTTTAAAAATATTCACAGTTTAGGGACAAAGAAATGAGCACGAAGCTTGCAGTCGGAGTCACATCCGTTTCCAAGCTTCAAAGACTCGGTCTTGAGCCTCTCTCAACTCAAGCTTTGATTTTTTTTTTTCTTCAGTTTCGGCTACTGCGTTGATTTGATTAGATTGGGCTCTTTCAATGTATGTAAAGGCAGAGACTTCGTACTCCGGGCTAGGCACCGAAAAAAGACCCAACCTGCCTAGCCGCCTAGTGCCCGTTTAGCAGCCTAGCGCCCGCCTCGGCCAATTTTTTGATCACTGCAATTGGTTGAATATCTGAAACCCCAAATTGAAAAATAAAATATTGACATGTAAAAGCTGTCAATTGTTGCAGGTTCACGCCAGCTAGAAAACCAATAATTCAATGACCAAAAAACAATCATGGAGTTGTACAGAAAATTCAAAGTTCCAAAATAAGTTGGATTAAATCACTTCTAATATAATCTCCACTTCAATCTAACAGATGAGTGAAATAAACAAATGAAATTGACATTTTCAAACTCAGAAAGTATAGAACAAACTCGGAGAAATCCTTGAACTGATGTGAAACCGAGACCTTCATTGCATCTCATAGAACTTGAACATGGAAACTCTCTTAACCACATTCAAACATTGAAATTTCCTTGTATATCTCTTATTTCGGGAGGGAATGAGTGACAACACCAGCAGCAGTAGCAGTAGAAACAATCATTTTATTCATAACCAAACCGAACTTCATCTCATCACGTTTTCCTTGGAACCCCTTCATGGAGATTATCCTAATATGTGAAGACAGACAAGTAGGCACAAATGCTAGTGGACAGAAAGGGTTATTTTCTATGTTCAACATACTATCAAGGTCTAGGTTAAGAGATTCTAGATTAGGTGATCGGTTCAGATATTCTATGAGCAATGTCTAGTAACCAGAATGAAGTAGTCCTAGCTCCAACTATTTCAAATGTTTAAAGATAGCAGGCAAAAGTAAACCATCCAAACTAGAAGCTAGAAGAGAAAGATACGTGACATTGGAAATTCCTATAGTAAACGGAGGCACAAGGTAATCACAGGCTAGACTTTCACCTACTGGAAGCCTATAGGGACGAATTTTGGCTGTGGATTTTAGAAAACATAAAATGGCATATGAGCACCAACTGAAGACATCGACAATCAAGTTTTCAAGCTTTGGGGAATTCATGAAGAGTTGGAACGTACAATTATTTCTAGTATTTGTGATGCTTGTCTTCAATTTAGGGGTAGAGATTTTGAATCAACTCTAACATTCACGAGTATAGTCAAATCTTCAAGTACGGGGCACTTAGAAAAAAGTTTCTCCATTGAGGCACCATCTCCCCCATCAAATCTAACACAAAGACTCAGGAGATTATCCTACATGTAATGCTGGTGTACATAAGAATGGTTTCTTCCCCTATTCTTGTGTTAAGTATCCCTAGGTGCCTTTTTGACGTATGATAGTATCTCTTTACAGATCGAAGAGAACTTGAGAGACTTCTCAGCGGGAAGCAATGATGCCTTCACCACAAGATCCTGAGTGCTTCAGCTTATGGGTAACTTTATATTTCTCTTTATTAAAATTGAGTATATTATGAGCTGTGATTGCCGGTATTAATGTATGATTGGATGCAACTTGCTTCTTTATCAAACTAACGTCCTCGTGGAAGGTTGGATCTACTACACTTGCGAGCTACAAGGGAGGTATTGCACTTACCTCCCCTCTTCACACTGGGAATTTCAAGTGCACGAGGGTATGGTATATATAAGAATGAGATGCTACTTCTCATCTAGCACATGTTGTTTGAATTCTCATTCAGAATACTTCGTATATCAATGCCATATGACCTCTATTACCTTCGATTTATTTCACAATAGAGCTGCAAACTTCTCTTCGTTGTCTCGTTAGACGATTTTGTATCCAATTTTTCATCCGCATAGAATACGGCGCGGACTAATATATCTCATAGCAGAAGAGCAGGGTTGTCAAGTGCAATGAGAAAAATGCAGTAATTGGGTTTAGTTCGTTATTACGATGGACAGTTTAGAAAGTAAATTCCTATACAAGCAATTTTTTAATATGAAATTCAACAGTCTTTGATCCACAAAATGTTGGTGGATCCTTTTTTTTATTTATTTATGGGTTTAGCCCGTGTTATTTGTTATAAATAAAATCCATTTTTGTATTCTTGCTCAATGGACTAATAGCTAGAAATCATTAGAATGGGAGGTATTGGAAAGTATTTAAATTCTCATTCCCCAATATCGCTTATACAAATAAAAGAATTGAAGAAATAACTTTAGCCCAATGGACTAAAGTGGTATTTTATCCCCAAACCCTGAAATGATATGACAAAATTGTATATTTAAAGAGAAGCACCGCCCGGCTATACTGGTAGAATATTTTAAAAGTATAGCCGTTTGGCTATAAGCTTGAAATATAATATATTCGAATATTTTAAAAGTATAACCGATCGGCTATACTTTTTAAATACATTCGAAAGGAACACGAAGCTTGCACTCGAAGAGGACGGAGGTTGCAGTCGAAGTGATAGCCATTTCGCTTCTTTATCAACTCAAGCATCGATTTGTTTTCTTCTGTTTCGGTTGCTTCGTCTTCTAGGTTCGGCACCCAAAAAAGACCCAACCTGCCTAGGAGGCCCGCCAGCCGCCTAGAGCCTGCCTGGCCACCTAGCAGCTAGCCTAGGCCAATTTTTCGAACATTGCGATTGACTGAAAGTCTAAAACCCAAAATTGAAAAAGTTTAGCTGCCAACACTACCGGAGGTGCAATATTAACAAAGTATGAAAAATGGTTTTTCGGAATAATCATTTTCTCAAGATAATTTTTG